ACCACTACTACCACTCCTGCTGCTGCTGCTACTACTACTGCTGCGCTGCTGCTGCTACCACAACAACCACTACGACGACGACGATTACTGCTACTACCACTACTACTACTACTACTACTACTACTACTACTACCACTACTATTATACTACTAGTGTACTGAGTATTAGTACTAGTACTATTGTAGTACTAGCAGTACCAGTAGTAGTAGTAGTAGTAGTAGTAGTAGCAGTAGTAGTACAAGTAGTAGTACTAGTACTAGTAGTAGTACTACTACTACTGCTGCTACTACTACTCCTACTACTACTATCACTAATACTGCAACTGCTATTGCTACGATTATTACTGCCAGTACTCGTAGTACTACTTTTACTACTGCTGCGGCTGCTGCTGCTGCTCTACTAGTATTACTCTTATTATTGCCATCAGTACTACCATTAGTATTAGTACTCGTACTCGTACTAGTAGTAGTACTAGTATTCGTACTAGACTAGTACTTGTACTAGTACTAGTACGAGTACTCGTACTAGTACTAGTACTCGTACTAGTACTATTACTAGTACTAGTACTAGTAGTAGTAGTAGTAGTAGTAGTAGTAGTAGTAGTAGTAGTAGTATTACTGCTACCACGATCAATTGAGGCATCAATGGACAGCAATACAGTGGCCCTTCCTCCACCACCGTCGCGCCGCCGGACGGTCCCTGAAATGAATCGCTGTGTTTCGCTTTAGCTGTGGGCTTTTGCGATTAAGTTGCGGTTCAGCTGAAGTGTATAAAGCGTAAATCGTACAAACCCTATAGCCTATAAACCCTAAACCCTATAAACCCCGAAAGCCCAAGCCGCCAAAATTGCGGGTTTCTGGGGACTTCCTCGTCCATGTAACGTGGACTCCTGACGAGTAATCCGAGTGTCTTTCATGAGGATTGGGGTCCGGCGTCCAGGGTTTAGGGTTTAGGATTATATGCTCGGGATATTGCAACTCAAGTGTTTGACGAAGACTGCGCTCGGGATCCTATTTTGAAGCAAACATGGCCAGAGCCCACCATGAAGACACCTTCTGTGAGACAAAGAGGCTAAGAGGGTGATCTGTGTCTTTTCTTTTTGCGTTACCCGTGTCCCTTCTTTTCGCATTATCTGTGTGTTTTTGGTGTCATATATGAGGAACCCAAATCGCTCAATGGCGGGGGCTTGTTTAAGTCATGCGATATATGAGCCAATAGCGGAGGGGCGTGTTAAGATATATGAGGAACTGGAATCGCCAAATGAGGGGGCATGTTTAAGATTCATCTCCACAGACAGAGAGAGAGAGAGAGAGAGAGCTTGACAAGGAAGCGGTCAGATTAATGATTCGTCACCTAGTAGTCACCTAGGCGACAGTTGCGTGTTCATAATGTTGATGCGTGGGATTCTGCACTGAGCCAAACCACCGAGCCTCAATCCCCCCATGTGTTTATTGTGCCAAGGTATCATTCCCAGTGGCGATATGCCATGGATAACCGTGCCTGGGACTAACAATACGGACTGGCGAGTGTATGGCTTCAAGGGTGTGTGCTCCAGTAATTCGTTTAGGCTTCGAGGCTTAAGAAAAGGCTCAGTGCTGCGAGTTTGTGTTGGGGCGGGTTTTTGGGTATGAATAAAAAGTTGAACTATTAGAGAGCCGAACCATGCGCTCCATTTCTTTCAAATCCCTTCCTTGTCTCCTCTGTATTCCGGCCTTTCTTCTTCTGTCTTCCCACCTTAGTTGGATTTTAGCTACAAAATGCGAACAGGTTTTCACTTCCTCCTCCATTGACCCACCCTTGCAAAAGCTGAGCGTCTGCACCCCGGCCACGCAGCCAGTGAGTCCGGGTCCCCAAATTCTGAACCTCCCCCTAAACCTCAAACCCCAAAAAACCAGAAACCCTAAGCCCTCAACCTTCAACACCCCTAGGCCCTAAACCCTAAACACCCCCAAGCCCTAAACCCTAAACAACCCTAAACCCTAAACCCTAAACTCACCCCTAAACCCTAAACCCTAAACCCCCTACACCCTGACGCATATTCCTTGGTCGTGGAGGTGTGGAGTCTCTGACTCAGCGCCCTAACCCTGACGTCTCCTATCCCGGTTTTGGGGTTGAGGGTTTCAGCGTTTTAGGGTTTAGGGTTCAGAGTCTAGGGTTTAGGGTTTTCACCCCATGGGTCTTTTTCTGTTAGGGTTCTAAGGGAGAATGGGGGCCGGTGCTTGACGAAACAACGAATAGGTCAAACTCTCGTCCTACCGCAGCGTCAGTCCAGAGTCGGTCCGTTTTACATGGCCAGCGTGGCGGAGTAGTTAATTTCCTGGAATAACATTATACTACTATATAGTTCTCGATGGAGAGCCTTTGGGATTTTGTGCTGGGAGTCTGTGGGGGAAGGGGTTCCTTTCCCTTATATGTTGAGCTACAGCCCGTTGGCGAAATTTTGTCCTGCGGTAGCCACTTCGCTTCTCCGCGGCATATGTTCATGGTGTACGGAAGCTACCATCCGTATGTCGAAACTTTTGTCCCGGTGATGATCCTGGAAGCATGCCTGATCCTCGCAACTATTTCAAGGTGAGGCAGTGTCATTTGCTGTGAAAAAGGTCAGGCCGAGGCAGCAGCAGGACATAAGTTTTGATTTAATAGGCCTTCCTTGTCTTAAGTGTGAAGATGTCTTGCGGAGTAGCGGAGTGCCGCGAAGTGCGAACTACGTGGCCTGGCCAGCGGAGTATTTCAAACGCCGTTTATAAAAAATCATGTTATACTGTTCCGGAGGAGGGGTTGGGGGCTTAGGGTTCGCTGGGTACATTTTTACATTTTTGTTATACCTTAAAAATGATCATTTTTAACACAGCCCCAACAGGGAACCAGTTCAGGGTTCAAGCCCTAAATCCTAAAATCCGAGGATACGAGCGGCGTGAGAGCTGGCTGGAGGCTCTGCCTGGAGGATCGGGAGCATTCACAGCGTTTTAGGCTTCAGGATTCTCGGGCTTAGGGTTTAGGCCTCGGGATTTTGGGGCTTAGGGTTTAGGCTTAGGTTTTGGGTTTAGTCTTCCGCATTTTCTGGTTGAGGGTTCAGAATACTACATCTCCTGCGGTTTGAATGTTAGTTAGGGGTTTAGGGTTCAGGATCTAGGGTTTGGCTGCTCCCAAAGCCGGGCCACCTTGAGCATTACCGCCATTAAGTTCAAAACCCTCTGTCAATCGAAGGGCCTTTGTAAAGGGTTCCTTACACAAAGCATATCAGCAGCGTAGGACGCTCTACCCCAAGGCCCCTATATTCGTCCCTAAACCCTAAACCCTAAGCCCTAAACCGCAAGAACAAGTCCAAAACCTTATTTTGCTTACGGAGGTCCCGATATTAGTCCGAATAGTTGCTGCTCGCAGGATGCTGATCCGGGGACTTGGACGCAGGCTTGCCCCTCTGAGTCGTTTCGGATATCAGAAACAGGGGTTCAGGGTGTTAGGTTTGTGTGATTTATAGGGGCTTAGGATTTAGAGTTTCGGATTTCGGGGGGAAAGACATGTAGCAGCCTCAGCCCAACTGAACCCCTGCTCCGACTCTTCCGGTCCCCATAGCACACGGTAAGCCCTAAACCCGGAACCCTAAACGCTCCGAGTGGCAATGTAGCAGCGGATTTTTCGAGAGCTTCAGTTGTATCAGGATACTGCAAGTCGCTTGTTCAACACCCTGAATCGAATCTGCAGCACCTTCCGCTTGGAGGTTCATGGGTAGTTATAAACAGGGCTATAAGTAGGATGACTGTAGCTATAACGCACACTACAGGACTTATAGCCTCACTTATTATAGCTACCTCAAAACACCACCGAATCCCTAAACCCTAAATTTTATGACCATGGACCTCCAAGCATCCCCCTGGCCGGCGCCTTGGAGTCTGCGCAGATCGACTCGACGTCTATTCCGGCGCGGAACGATCAGTCCTTGGTGTGCCAGCTGCATGCAGAGGTTGTCGTTGCCGAAGGCTTACCTGTTGCCGGAAACCGACCTTTTTGGGGTTCCTTATTATGGTTTCTATACATAGCTCCTCAAAAAGGTAGGTCTTCAGGGCCACAGGTAGGGTTTAGGGATAGTGTAGGGTTCCGAATAGTTCGTGACAGTATGCCCTAGGATGACTGGGCCCAGCACAAGTCCTACATAGAAAGGAAAGGATGCACCTCCGCAGACTTCCTTCGAAGTCGGGGTGGAGTCTACTGGGCTTTGGAGGGGTTTAAGCTAAGTTACCATAACTGATACGGAAACCATATTTTGTACTACAGATCCCGTTTATGGTAAAGTAATGTAAGTTCCTCAGCAAGATCCGAGTCTACTCATCTAATTCGTTTGGACGAAGGTTGGGCCATAGGCCTGAAACCGCATTGGGGTTTGCTTGTCTTGACAGCCCAAAGCACAAGAGCCAAACTCAAAGCACAAGAGCCGAACGGAGGACTTGGAGATTATCAACCCCTAAACCCTAAAACCTAAAACCCTAGACCCTAAAACCCGAAACCGTAAA